GAGCGGGGTGGGGGGTGCGTCAGGCCCGCGGCCACTTTGGCGGCAGCTCCCTGACGAGTCTCCCTGGAGAACGGAGTGTTTCTAAGGACCCGCCTTTCCCGCGTGGTCTTACTTCCTAAATGAGCACGTTTTCCCGCCCTCGCAAACTGTCAGAGCCGCGTGGCTGACCCACGGGTGAATAATTCTCAGATCGGTACAGTTCCTTCCGACCTTCAGCCTGATGTCTCCTCGGGCGTCTTTTCTTGGCTCAGTCAGCCGGACCCCCCGTGTCCCAGGAACCCCGAACCCCTCTCAGGGGTGCTCGTGGTCCGCCCACCAAGCCTCCCGCCCCTGAGAAAGCAGGCTCGTTCCCTTTGAGACAATCCCCCGGGGCTCCCTAGAATGTCGCTGTGGCTGAAATCCGCCCCCTGGGAAAGTGCAGGTTAAGAGGGATCAGAAACAGCGATTTAGCCAGAACCAGTCTGGCCTTAAGAATACAACAGGTCCAACTGGTTTCCGGGGTGCAGCCTCCAATTTCCATGATGTCCGAGAGGTAAGAGTACGTGTGACCGGGGGGAGGGCGAGCGGTCTTTTGTTTCCAGATCCAGAAACCTAACTGCGGCTCCCAGACAAACACCGAGGCTCAGGCTGCGGAGGCAGGACTTTTCTTTTTCTTTTTTTTAAATATATTTTATTGATTTTTTACAGAGAGGAAGGGAGAGGGATAGAGAGTTAGAAACATCGATGAGAGAGAAACATCGATCAGCTGCCTCCTGCACATCTCCTACTGGGGATGTGCCCGCAACCCAGGTACATGCCCTTGACCGGAATCGAACCCGGGACCCTTGTGTCTGCAGGCTGACGCTCTATCCACTGAGCCACACCGGCCAGGATGAGGCAGGATTTTTCTTAGCGCAGCCTCCGTGGGCCACAGGTGCCAGCCCAGGTGTGCAGCAAGCCAGTCACGGAGTAACTTCATTTTCTCCTTTGAAAGGCTTCCTCGGTGGGTAAACGAGGGGGAAATGGTATTTGAGGAGTCCTCTCCTGAAAACAAAATAGAAAAGTAGAAGCTGACCAGCACGGTTAAGTAGCTTAGTAGCTGGTTGAACTGCGACGCTGAAATACGATCTACCATATTTTTGTAGGTTGATCTGAAAAGAGAAAGGGGGCCCGGCCAGGTGTGGCTCAGCAGTTGAGCATTGACCCAGGAACCAAGAGGTCACCGGTTCGATCCCTGGTCAGGGCACAGGCCCACGTTGACAGCTCCATCCATCCCAGTGGGGGGCGTGCAGGAGGCAGCCAATCCATGATTCTCTCTTATTGATGTTTCTCTCTCTCTCTCTCCCTCTCCCTTCCTCTCTCTCTAAAATCAATAAAAATATATTTTTTTCAAAAAGAGAGAGAAAGGGGCTTTGATGATATGTTACAGGTACCTGCTTGTTTATTGATTTTACCAGTAACTTGGATGAAAAAGAAAATAAATGTTTACATATAGTTCCTACCAGGTGCCAGGCAGGGTTCCCGTGTTCTAGCAAATATTAGTTCATTCACTTTATTTTATTTCTCATAATGGTGTGATGGTGGATACTGATATTATCCTCATTTCATAGGAACCGAGGCCCAGAGAGGTTAAGGCACTTGCTCAGGGTCACTCAGCGAGTGCAGGCGGAGCTGGGGTTGGCACGGTCCAGCCCGAGGGCAGGCCCTCCCTCCGGGGCTGCCTCACTCACTGGTGGACAGAGGTAGCCGGAGTGTCAGGGTCTGGATCCCAGCAGTTTGGGATGTGGGTCGAATCTGACACCTCAGGTTTATTAGGCACAGGTGTAAGTTTCCACCCTGAGCTTCCGAAAACAATAGAAACTTCAGGATGAGGAGAAAAGACCTTGAGAGCCACACGCATGGAGAAACGGCAACTGACAGCACCATGGGGGCTGCCAGCCACACCCACGTAGACACACGCCACTCCCATGGGAGCGCCAGCCGGAACAGGGCGGGTTCTGTCTTCCCTGTGGGCCGGCCCCCCCTCGTCCCCTGTATCCATCACTGGGTCCCTGCACGGAGGAGGGTGGGCACATCTTTGGTATGTTTCAATATATATTTCATTGATTTCAGAGAGAAAGGGAGAGGGAGAGAGAGAGAAACATCAATGATGAGAGAGAATCATGGATCGGCCGCCTCCTGCACGCCCCCCACTGGGGATCGAGCCTGCAACCCGGGCATGTGCCCTTGAGCGGGAATCGAACTCAGGACCCTTCAGTCCGCAGGCCAACACTCTGTCCACTGAGCCAAACTGGTTAGGGCCTTTGGTGTGTTTGAAGGAGGCTCACAGGGAAGGAGGACTGGTCTGCTGAGTGGGGGGCCCGGGGATGGAAGCCATACCTGCAGCCCAGCAGGGCAGCTCTCCGCCCGCCGTCAGCACTGTGGAGAGCGTGGGCTCCAGGACGGGGTCCCACCCCCGAGGCGGGCACCTGCAGGCCCGGGACTCCCCACCCCCACGGGGGTGCTGCAGAGGGGCCTCGGGGGCTCTGCTCAGCATCCTGTCACCCCCCCAACCCCCCCAGGGCAGCCCTGCTCCTGGACCAGTACCGCAAGAAGTCCCGGCTCTTCCGGAGCAACGTGCTGCTGGTGCCGCTGGGCGACGACTTCCGCTACGACAAGCCCCAGGAGTGGGACGCCCAGTTCTTCAACTACCAGCGGCTCTTCGACTTCCTCAACAGCAAGCCCGACCTCCACGTGCAGGTGCGGCCGCCGGCCCTTCCTGGGGCTCCCGACCGGGGTTCCCTCCCGACCTTCCCAGGGCTTCCCTTTTCTTTCTTTTTTTTAAAGGGTTATTTTTTGTTTATTCATTTGTCATGTTTCTGTCAATCCTCACCTGGGGATATTTTTCCATTGATTTTTAGAGAGAGTGGAAGGGGGAGGGAGAGAGAGAGAAACATCGATGTGAGAGAGACACATCGATTGGTTGCCTCCTGCACGACCAGGGCCGGGGCCGGGGAACCTGCCACCGAGGTACATGCCCTTGATCAGAACCGAACCCGGGGCCCTTCAGTCCACTGAGCCAAACCGCCTAGCCCAGTGGTCGGCAAACTCATTAGTCAACAGAGCCAAATATCAACAGTACAACGATTGAAATTTCTTTTGAGAGCCAAATTTTTTAAACTTAAACCATATAGGTAGGTACATTGTTATTAACTTCATTAGGGTACTCCTAAGGCTTAGGAAGAGCCACACTCAAGGGGCCAAAGAGCCGCATGTGGCTCGCGAGCTGCAGTTTGCGACCACGGGGCTAGGGCCATACTTTATTTCTTATTTTTATTTTTGTTAATATATTTTTATTGATTTCAGAGAGGAAGGGAGATGGAGAGAGAGAGAGAAATATCAATGATGAGAAAGAATCATTGATTGGCTGCCTCCTGCACGCCCCCTACTGGGGATCGAGCCCGCAACCCGGGCATGTGCCATTGACCGGAATCGAACCCGCAACCATTCAGACCACAGGCCGACGCTCTATCCACTGGGCCAACCCGGCTAGGGCTATTTTTTATTTTTTAAGTAAACTTTTTATTGTTGATAGTTAATATTTATAATAGATATTTCCCCTTTCTCCCCCTTTCCCCCCATCCTCCCAGCCCCTACCCACCCCCCATGTCTTCACTACTTTAAAAAAATAAATCTTTATTTTTTATGATGTTCAATA